TTTTTTTTTTTACTTTCATGTATAATTTTTCTCACAAGTATTCACAATAGTATATTTATATATTAATGTTAGATGTTTATTGATTTTTTACAAAAAAGTCTACAAAATTCTTGAAAAGTATGAAGAAATTCTATAGAATTCCTGAACAATACCATATGTCATTTTGGGGGATTTCTAATAAATCCTACATAATCCATAAGATTGTTAAAATCCCATCAAATCATATTCTTAATAAAATCTTAAAAAGTCTTTTAGAATCTTAAAGGAATACATCCCCCTAAGAATCCCGAAGTGCGAGTCTGCCACATAAATCCGGCACATTCAAAAATCTCCTACAGGGGATGATACTGGTATTATGGGAAATTCAATTTTTATGAGTTTTTGTACTATAGCTGGTAATCGATAATTCGTGTAGTATTGGCATGTACGATTTTAAATTATTTTCACGATTTCAAATTATGGCGCACTAAATCCCAACGTATTAAGTCTAGTTATGATCAAAAGAATAGAAATATATAACTATGTTAATAAAAACTAATACAAATCTCGTGCGATGCACGGGTAAAAGATATTCATTAATATTTATGAATTAAAATATCTTATAATTAAATAATATTATAAATAGAAAACATGGAATCAATATGTAATATAATGTACCTATATTAATTAGATAAATGCTATAGGTACATAATATGGTACATAAGGGTGTACATAACACTTACATTAGGTGAGACCTACCAAAAATAAAAAATCAAGTGGACCCCACTCCATTTGAGTGTTATGTACACTTCTATGCACACTACAAGAAAATAGAGTTTTAGTGAAAAAATTTTTTCTCACTATGTTGTCACTATATCTATTGTCACTAAATCTTCAGTTGTTGTCACTATATCTACAACAATTGTAGATATAGTGACAATAATTGTAGATATAGTGACAACTATTGTAGATATACTGCCAGTAGATATAGTGACAACAATTATAGATATAGTGACAAAATTTTTTTCACTAGAACTCTATTTTTTGTAGTGATGTACGTTGATTATGTACTTGTAGCATTTTTTTTAATTTATTGAAATTATTATATAAAATTTGAATGGTGCAAAATTACATAAAAATATTTATTTAAAATTTGTACACAGCCTGCACGTTGCACATAACTGATAATAAATTACATTATATTTATTTCAAAATATGTGTCATTTCAAAAATTTTGTTCAGAAATTCGATTTGACTATAACGTGATTCCATCAAATATTTATTTTGATCAAATTTTATCATATATTTATAAAGCCATGTGAATAATAAGTATAAATATAAAACTTATATTATTTCATTTATTAATATGAATTTATTTTTGTATAAATATCCAAATCAAAATATTTAAGTAGTTGAGTAAAAATAATTAGTCATAAGTTTTTATGCCAAAAAATCGACACTTCTTATCATGCTAAAAAAATGAACAATGCATTTCACACAAAAATTGTTTGAAATGTCGTAACAAAAAATGAATTAAATCGAGACCCATTAATTATTAAAAAAAATTACCAGAGCTTTTTTACTAAAAAAACATCGATACACGCTCATTATGTCAAAATATTCGTTCATATTATTTTGTCAGAGTTACGGTAATTTTATTATGTTAATTTCATACGAAAAATTGAAACTCATGCCTAAAATCAATATATTGGCCTGCTCATTACATAAAAATGTACATTGTATATTGATAAATTTGTCGACAAATTTCCTACCAAAAAACAGTTATCAAATAACATGAATAAATTTGCTCACTTTATACAATATATTGATTAACTTATTTTCTATAAAAATAACCATCAATACCAAAAATAAATCCGTCCACTTTATACCATATATTAATATATTAATTAATTCACATTATTTGAGTAATTAAGGTATCTTAAAATATGGTTTAATTTTTTCCTTAAATAATGAGCCGCAGTTTCCATAAGTGATCATTTAATATATACTATAAATTGTTAAATTAATTTCCCAAAATAGTAAATAGATTTTTTTTGGAGGGAAATAGTTACTATTTAAAAAATAATCAAATCTTTTATATAGATATAGATATAGATAAATTAACATTAATTTATCTATTTATATTATATATCTATAAAAATGATTGCATTTAGTTAAAATGATATTGTTTTTCCGCCAAGAAAATCTTGGTTACTAAATAGTGAAATTTTTTAAATGTTCTTTTTTACTTGTTTCTTTCTATTTTATGTTGTTAAGTATTCCTTATCATCTGAATTTGGAACTTCAATTTTTATTTTAAGTAATTCTATACCAATAATTGATCTCAATATATTGATTAGTAAATAATTCAGCGAAATATTTTATTTTTATCTAATCTATATTATTTTCATTTTTGTGATATCAATATTTTCAATTTGAGATTAAAGTTTTTCAAAAAAATTACAATCAAATCACTTTATTTCTATCTAATCTAAAAGTATATTTGATTTGAAAAATATAAAATTAATAGATATGGTTATATATTAACTAATTTTTATACATAAAATCCCTGGGTCAGCCCATTAAGCCGGAAATGAAAGAACAACAGGATAGAGCAGCTATACAGCTAAAACCC